CTTCCGGTACGACCCACCACCACACCGCCGCTGTCCTAGCACTAGCTTTTACCATCACTCATCTTCCCGGTACGACCCACCACACCGCCTCCTAGCACTAGCTTTTACCATCACTCATCTTCCCGGTACGACCCACCACACTGCCGCTGTCCTAGTATTAGCTGCACGAAAGAGAATACAGTACTGCTTTCAGGGTTTTAAAACCATACTCTACAAACATGTACAGGAAGTATCTGCTGTGCATCTAAACATTTTACCTCGATAATAAGAAGATCAGACTTATAAGGAAATTGTTTTCCTTAATTTCGACCCCCCTGCTCTCTTGTTTGGTTCCCCTTTCTCTGGCATTAGCAAAGTATAGTACCTGTCCACGCCAACATTTCTTTAATGAGGCATAAAAGATACCGCTATACCTTGTGGTATTCTAACTGGGTGACAGTGGTTTGGGAGTTGGAAGAAGGATAGTAGATGGTTAGTGTCGTTCGGTAGCTATCATATCGGATAGCTATGCGTCAAACTGGCTACCCACCCACTCACTCCTCGTTACTCTCCATTTCAGAACATGGGTGCTTATACCGTTGCCGCCGCCTCCTGCTTCAACGGCTTCCCGAAGCCAATCAACTACTACATCGAGCCTACGGAGGAGAAGCAGGGGGGTCACGACCTTGGCGAGATGCGGGAAGGTCACGACCTTGGCGAGATGCGGGCGGGTCACGGCATCGGCGAGGTGATCCCGTGCAACGTCGTCCCGGCCGTCCACTGCCGCGTCGGGATCATGCCCAGTGCTTAGCGCACCGCAGCCGCCGCCGCTCCCCCCCCCTGCCTCGTTGCAGCAGTTTCTCGCTCAGGTTTTGCATTCGGTCTTCGGCCCCGGCCTCTCCTAGACTTAGTTTGGTAGTTTCGTCCGTTTCTCTTCGCCCTCCTCCGATCTGCGCAATCGAGTTTCTCCGTCACGGCGGCGGCGGCTGGGTCGAGGTCGTGTCGCGGTCCTGCGAGCGGATTCATGGCGGCCTCGCGGCCAGATGCTTCTCGCCCCCGGACCCTCGGTAACGGCCGGCACCCCCGCCGCGCCTCGACGTTTTATAGTGGCCCGCCGCGGGTCACAGCGTTTACGTTATTTTACATTCTTTTGTACGTTTATTTTTTTGGTGGGTGTTCACGTTACATATTGGGAGGTAATTCTTTTTTAGTAAACGACCAATTTTTGTTTTGTTTTGGTTGGGACCAGTTCATTTTGAACCGAACCAAACTGAACCAATGTATGTATCTCCTGCTCAGTGCACAGTAACGAGAAGGTGTTTGTGGTTTAGATTACACGGCTTATCTAAAGCGTAGGCGATAGATATATATTCTGCTGCTGTCAGTTTCACCATGATAGTTTAACACAACACTTCGCATGAATGTAACCTGTGTGCTAGTCCTTCAGCATTAGAGCTAGAGCAACTGAGTAGAGAGTTTCATGTGGGTAGAGTTCTGGTTCTAGTTATAAAAATATCAAGATATGATTGGTACAGAAGTGCCTGAAACTTGCAACTACAAAGGAATGTAAACGACGAAGGAAAACGTGAGAAAATTCCTTGAAAAAAATAGAATAACAAAAATTGTAACTGCTTTTTTTTGTTAAAATGTGCTGTAAAACCATTGATGAATAGATATGTCATGAAATGTGCGGCAAAATTATTCTTGACGATTGCATATCTGCACCTGTTTGGCAAAGCACAGAACAAATTCAACTTTAACTTTTAAGTTTTCGCAGGCTTACACCTGCAACGAGACCATGTGCCGGTAAACTAGTTGGAAAAATAAATTGAAAATAAGTAACACAAGTTCAAATTTGAATTTTTTGTTTTTATTTTATGACTACTGTTGATTCGTAATGGTATCAAACAATACAATCGGGAGAAAACTCTTGCTGAGGTAGATGATCACAGCCTACCTAGGACTTTGCAATTTTTGGCTATGCAACCTGCAACTACTACACTTGCAATGATAAACGTAGAAAAAACAGAACATATTCTAGGAGACTAGCAAATTTTCCGGTCATATTTATAACCTGGCGAGTCGTATAAACTATTACTTATTTACAACATTCCATTAATTAGATTGCAAATTGCATTCATTAATTAGTTATCATAAGAGATTGCAACAAACATCTTTGATTAACTATTCGCTACATACAACTTCACCCGTATCTTGTGAATACCAAATAGTGATCACACCTTATATTAGCATTACGTCGAGGAAACGTTCGTTTCTGATTACCTAGCAACATGTTACTACGTATGCACAGCTCGTTATTTTACCTTGAAACGTTACCAAGGATGCATACAGCTTCTTGTTAACTAGAAACGTTACAGTGATATACATCTTGTTACTTGTTATCTAGAAACGTTACAGTGATATACATCT